GGAAACATTGTCCCGCGGTCGGCCAAGCCAAACGCTCACGCCACACCGCGCACGACCAAAGCGCGCGAGCCGGGAAACAAGCCTCGCGGCCGCGCAACCCTTCCGCGTACCACGGCCGATGCATCCGTCCGAGCCGGGAAAGAACGTCCCACGTCCGGCCGAGAATTCTCATCGGCCAAGTTTCAATCCGCTCGACCACGCCGGCCGACCGCGAATCCATCCGACCCCGACCGTTCCGACTCGCCCACGATCCGATTGTCCGGCCGATCGTCCCGCACGACCGTCCCAACGCCGCGGTCGACCCGAAGCCCTTTTTGAAGCCCAAACTTATGTTTTCAAGCCCGGCTTAACCCTAGCCGCCTCTAGAAAGACCTAGCACTATATATATGGATTTTTAGCCTCTTGAGAAAGAGAGCCGCCCTGTATTTCGATTTCCTACTCTAAGTTTTATTGCAATCATGTTTTCTTCATCTCTATGTGTGTTTGCTTTGATCATGTCTGAGTAATCCACTAGTTAGGTTGCTAGGGTTACTATTCAATGAGTTGCTTGCATGATCTTTGATTTCAATGATTAGCTAGGGATTATATTAGAGTCTTTGTCTCGTCTTGTGCACTTAACTAATGCTGATTGCTTTACCGCGCATCTAGTAATCCGATCTTAGGTTGATTTGAGCCTCGACAGTGCTGTATCATTCGCCGGACATATTCTTTGACAAGCTAGGTTTCTTAGACTGCGAAAGTTGATCTATCTATATCTAGTGAACTGTATCAGAACCTATTCATTCTAATGCTTGATCTAATCACCTAGGGACATACCAAAAGTTTAGCGACTAGGTAGATTAGCAAAGGAGCCGGAGCCTCGAAAGTGGAATGGTTTTATATTCGTGATCTGTGTTCTAGATGGTTCTTAATATCCCAATATCCCTAATCAATTAATCTATCATTGTTTCATTGATCATTGCTTGCTTCTCTGCGATAGCCCCTATGACCTAGCGCTTTTCCTTTATTGCTTACAACCTCGTTATACTTGCTAGTTCGGTTCACCATTACAACCTCAATCATACTTTTGTTTTAGCTTGATCCAAAATCCATAGTTACAAAGTGTACTCAATAGCCAGTCCTTGTGTTCGATACCCATACTTCCGCGATCTGTGCACTTGCAGAGGTCTAGGAGTTTGGTAAAACCTGACTCCGCATCAAGTTTTTGGCGCCGTTGCCGGGGACTGCAGCAGTACCTTTGGAACTCGACTAGGATCTAGTCTAGAACCTTTTCCTGTTTTACTTTTCTTTTGCTTTTGAATTTTTAGTTTTTGATTTCCTTTTCTTTGATTTTTACTTTTGTTTTTGTTTTTCCCTTTTGATTTAACTTGTTTCCAAGACTCTTTTCAGGTGCATGACTAGGAGGTCCAACAAGGACAACCTAGTTGAACATCCAGAGATAGACAAGCTTGAGAAGCAACTTAGGAAGCAGAAAGCCCAAGAGATGGCCGACGAAGCAGCTCGCGCTCACGCCGCTGAAGTGGCGCGCGCTCAAGAAGAAGGAAGAGATCCACCTCCTCCTCCTCCTAACCCTGCTGGAGATGTGAACGCACAACCCCAAGCTGGAGCACCTACAATCGGAGACTATGACTCTGCCGATGCTTTCTTCATGGATAGAAACCCTATCCATCCACCACCACCTGCAAGGAATGACTATGAGATCAAGCCTCAGATCATTGCATTGGTTAGACAGAACCAATTCAATGGACTTCCAGCTGAGCACCCTCTTGATCACATAGAAAACTTTGAAGAAATTTGCAGCACTACAAGATCCAATGGAGTCTCTGCTGACTACCTTAAGTGCAAGCTCTTTTCATTCTCTCTTGGCGACAAAGCTTCAAGATGGTTGAAGTCTCTGCCAGCTCACTCCATCACCACTTGGGATGAGTACAAGGCTGCATTCATCAACCACTTCTACACCAAACAGAGATCAATTTCTGTGAGAAACAAGATCTCCACTTTCGCCAAGGCAACAATGAATCTTTCTATGAGGCGCTAGATCGATTCAAGGAGTACATTAGGGACTGCCCTAATCATGGTTTCAATGAGGGAAACCTATGGAACATCTTCTATCGTGGCATAGACCACAAGTACAAGCTTTCATTGGATACACAAGCAATGGAAACTTCATGACCAAGACTGTTGATGAAGCTAAGGTTCTTATTGAGAATCTTGCAGCTAGTGATTGTAACAACTGTCCTGATTATGACCGCTCAAGCCGCACCACTACTAGCTCCCCTGATTCTTTTCAAATGACTGAACTCAAGAACATGATGGCTCAAGTTCTTAAGGGACAGCTCAAGCATATCAATGCAATAGAAGGGATGAGTGATGCTAATGAAGATTCATCAAGAGAATGCATGGGAGATTTCTCTAATGAAGCCAATGAAGAAGATGTGAACTACATTGGAAACTATGGGAACAAGGGATACAATCCAAGCTATCGCCCAAACCCCAACATGTCCTATAGAAACCCCAATGTGGAGAATCCTCAAGACCAAGTGTATCCTCCAAGGTATCCACAACAACAAAGACCTCCTTACCAATCTCAAGGAAGTCAATTTCAGCCAAGGCAAGGATATGAGCAGAGATCATCATATCCGCCCAAGGAGCCATATGCTTCTTCACCAAATCAAGCTCCTCCAAACCAACAAGGTGGGAGATTTGAAGGAATCCTCCAACAGATCATGGATGGCCAGAAGAGAAACACTAAAGAGATGTATGAGAAGATGGACACTTTGTTCAGCAATCTCAACACCAAGTATGATGCTGTTGCCACTCATGTGAAGAAACTAGAGACTCAAGTCACTCAAACTATGGAAGCTGTTAAGAGACAGGAAGCTGAATCCAAGAAGTCCTTTTGCAACTCAGCCGCCATAGAAGAAAGATTTGAAGACCAAGTTCCAGAATGGATGCTTTCAAAACCTACTGTTGATTGCATGATTTGGCCTGAAGAGAATTACCCAGAGAGAGAGTCCAATCGAGCTAGAAAGAGAAGACTCTTCCCAAAGATTATCCCCAAGACAGATAACTCAGGAAAGTTTGTTGTGCCTTGTATCATCAAAGGTAACATTCTTGAGCAATCTTTGTGTGACACAGGAGCCAATGTGAACATCATGTCTAAGAGGATAGCTGACAAGATAGGCCTCACCAAGATAGAGCCATCATCCATCTCCATCAACTATGCTGATTCATTCTCACAAACACCCTATGGCTTTGTGCCTAATGTGATGGTGCAGATTGGAAATTGCTCTATCCCTACTGATTTCCAGATTGTGGAAATGAGAGAGAGTAGCCATAGACCTCTCATATTTGGAACCCCTTTCCTGTCTACTGTGGGTGCCATATTTGATTTCCCCAATCAAAGAATCTCTTTCAACAAGGTGAACAAGGGTATGTTCTTCCCTATGTGTTCAACAAAGAACTCTTTTGTTGACATGGTCCAAGAGGAGAAAGCTACTTTGAAGCCACCCCAAGAAGGAGAAACTGAAGAAACAATCAAGGAAGATCCCATTCCTAAGCCCAAGCAGCTTGCCAAACAAGCAAGGAGTAAGACTAAGGCCCCTACACCAAAACCGCCCAAGGGATCAACCAAGATTGAAGATGAGGCCAAGCCAAGAAGGAAGGTTAGAAAACCTAGGTCTGGCCGCAACATGAAGCTTCTATTCCCAAAGGAGCTTATTGATGAGAATCTAGAAGGATTCAAGGAGAGAGTGACAAGAACTCTAAAGCTTTTTCCTAAGGCAGTAGTGCCAAGGGACATTCATGGAGAGATTGTCTATCCAGCTGTGAATCACCCACCAGATACTCATTGCAAGGAGAAAAGACTTGGAGGATCAAAGATGCCTCTTGTCTCCATCTTCTCCTGAGCGCCAAGCCTTACAGTCAAGCTAAAGACTTAAAACAAGCGCTGCATGGGAGGCAACCCATGAGGTACTTTTACTTTTCTTTCTTTAATTTTCTTAGTTTTTGTTTTGCTTTTGTGTTTTCTTTGTTTTAAGATAGGATAGAAGGAGAAAAAGGTGTGAAAACACAATCCGCGCCAAAACATTGGCCGCGGACGCGCAAAAGAATTTTGGCCGAGCAATTCCAATCTGGCCGACCGTTACGGTCGAGCCGGGAAGGAATAGCCGTGCTCGGCCGGATTTCTATTGCGCGACAGAAACCGTTCGCGCGGACGCACGAACCGGGAAAGAAGGCCGCGATCGGCCGAAATTTTCGTATCGGAACGGACCGACCGTGCCGGTCGATCCGGGAAACACGCTCGGCCTCGGCCGAAATTCTCTCGGCCAAAACGAATTTGGCCGACCAAATCGCTCGACCGCGACAAAATCCATCGGCCATCGGCCCAAAACTTTTCTAGGCCAAGGTAAGTCCCCTTTTCATTAATTCAAACCGGTTTTAACCAATCTAAACCAACTTAAACCGGTTTTCAATCAAAATTCGAATTTGAAAAGGAAAATTGATAGGATTTAGATCTTATTTACTTCACCTTTCCCTTGAAAACCACAAGAACCTCTCTTTCTTCTCCAAAACCCTAAACTCCATTAGAGGAACTCTAAGAGTTTTGATTTCAAAACTTTTACTGTTCATAACTCTAAATTGGAATTACTTGCTCTTGCAACCTTATTCACTTTTCAACACACAAGGTATGTCTTCTAACTCTAATCCTATGTTTATGCAAGATCGAAAATCTTCAATAAGTTTCATGTTTGGTCTAAACTCTTGTCTAGACTTGAAATTAGCATCCTTATAGTCTTGTAATGAACTTTGCTAGGTGGAACCTAGGTGGTTTAGAGTTAATTTGAAGTTTAATTTCACAATTGAATAGTTTTTCACAAAACTTATTGGGCATTCCAAACCCCTTATTCAAAGGTGAAATTGCTTAGGCATACTTCAATTCATTAGTTTATCTAGTGATTACTTGGATTAGAAACTCAATTTCTCTTGATTTGCTGAAAATTTTGATTTTAAGCACCATAATCTTGGGATGAACAGTAAAATCCGAAAATTAATTTTGAAAAAGTGAAATTTCTATTTTGTCTCTTTGATTCATGATTAAGCCTTGAGTTGTTCCTTTATTCCATATCATTATTGCAACTCAATTAGCTTATTCTTCTTTTGCATTAATCACAAACTCATATTTCTTCCCAAGAATTTGCTCTTGTAGGTACACAATGGCAAAGACAAAAGGAAATGAGAGTATGAAGAAGAAGAAGAACCCATTCATGGAACCACCAAAGAAGCAAATCAAGCTAGGGAGTAGTAGCTCCAATGCAAGAGCAGCAATACCAACTTCACCACATTCCATTGATGCAATCAAGAACATGTGGAGAGTCCAAGAAGAGGAGAAGATGATTGGGCACTTGTAACCTTTGTTGGAGAACAAAATCAAGACCCAAGAAAGTGTAAGAAGGCAATGGAGAAGGTGAACATCGAGCCATGTGTGAAGATGGACACCCAAACCCTTGATCTTCTCAAGATAAGAGATGATGTCACATGGTACATAAGGAAGCTAGGCTTGAGCAAGCTCTTCAAGCTAGAATGTAGTGAGTACTCACAACTCACCAAGGAGTTCCTCTCTACAGTAGCTCTTGCCTTTCCCAACCACAATGGAGACCAACCAGCTGGTGAAGGACTCCTACTCTTCAAGATAGGCGATGCCAATGGGCGCATATCCATCTCAGCTCTATGCCAACTCTTTGGACTTCCCAATGAGACAGCACATGACTTCAAGGAGAACTCAAAGAGGAAACAAGCTGCCTTTGCTGATTGGACACACTTTGCCAATGAACCATTCTTGCCTTCAAGGTCAAAGGTGTCTAGAATCACTCATCCAGCCATTCGCTATGTGCACCGCCTCATCTCCACCACTTTCCAATGCAAACAAGAAGCCAACAAGGTCACAACTGATGAGTTCTACATCCTCACCACACCATTCATCAAGCATGAGTACAAGGCCAACCTTGGACTTTTACTTGCCAAGACATTCATCAATGTGAGGAAGCTAGCTAAAGACTTGGAAGGCAACAAGAAGCTTTGTGTTCGTTTTGGGAGGCTTATCACGGCCATAGTACTGCATGTGGGGATTGACATTCCCAACTATGAGCCACTACCCAAGCCAACCCCTTTGGATCTCCATGCTCTTCAGCACATCCACTTCCTAAACCGTTGGACTAAAGACCCAACTCGGTTTTGCTATGAGTTTCCAATTGGTCCAGCCAACACTTCCCTTGTCTTGCTGCCACATGAGGACATCCCAAGCCTACGCTCAGGAGTTGTCACTTTCCAGCCCAATGAGGAAGAGTTCTATGTTCCATCAAGTGAGAAACCATCATTCCCCATGCTCACCTATCGCACACTTCAGCATGCAGTCAAGACTCAACGCCGCTCCAAGAACGCCATGTTCTCACTACTGGCATGGCTGCGCACCAAGCTCTAGACCGTGTTAACAAGCTGGAGAAGATAGTGGAATGCCAATCTCGCTTCATCTCGCGCCTAGTCCGCGTAGTTCGCCACATTGCACCGGAGAGACTCTTTCGCCCTTCTTCCACCGCTAGAGAGCCATATGAGCCTGACCTTGGTGAGTTCTCACTAGACTCAGAGCTTGGTTCAGAAGGCGATGACCCCATAGATGAGGAAGAGAGTTCTTCTCACTGCCACACATAGTCATCTCAAGTGGTACTTAGTGCAATGGACACTTACAAATCTCCATTTTCTATCCCTATCTTATTTTAATGAATTTTTCTTTATTTTTCTTTTACTTTGAATATTACCTCTCACCTTAATGTGATTTGCTTTCACCGGGACGGTGCAAGTTAAGTCTGGGGGGAGTTTTATTGTGTTACTAATGCATTTTTCTTTCTTTTCTTATGTTTTATTCACTTTGTTTCATGTTTTTCAAAAAGTTTTATTGAGTCAAAAACCAGTCCGGAAGTTATGAACTTGCTTTGAGAATTGAGAGTGTTATGCTAACAATCCATGACCCTAGAGCAGAAACCAGCTAAAGGCACAAGCCTAACAGAAGCTCTTACAGTGGATCGACATGCTAGCTCAGCAAAATTTCTAAGGTAACCAAGCAATCTAGAGTTAACCTCACACTTAATCAATCTTAATTACTCTTGTCAAGGGGGTTGGCATACATGTCGACAGTTCCTTGCTTGATTTTCAATAAGATTTGTCTAATCTTTAAAGAGTTCTCCTCTCTCTCCCATCCCAAATGGTAAGTAATTTATGAGAAAAAGCTCAAAGAGCACAAGGACAACAAGTAAGCATGAGGAATGCATATGTCTGTACCTTCATGTCTTATGGAATACCTTAGTCAAACAAGGAACAAGCTAAAGACTTATCCTGTGGTTGAAAGAAGGGTCAATAGAAAAAATAAAATGATACCCTAGAAAAGTAGGGAGAAATTGACCTTTCAAAGTTCTGATGTGAGAAAGAGAGAGGAAAAGAACTCATTGCACTTAAAGAGGCAATCTTGGAGAGGATCAAGTGGGTAAGAACAAGTTCAATTGATCGATGTCCCCTTGATAAAGAATTCACGCTTTAAATTTATGCAAGAGGTTAGCAATAGAGAGTTTGGATTGCTGGATGAGACTAGTTGGGTTGGTATTGTTCGCTAAACTTGCAGGGTGTATGTGAAGCTAACCTTATGTTGTCTATGTTCATAGTGGAATACAGGAAAGGAACCTTTCACAGGATATTCAAAAGAGCAAGGGAGCTTCCACGTTTTCAAACCTCTTTCACGGATTTAGATTCTTTTTGCTTGAGGACAAGCAAAGATCTAAGTCTGGGGGAGTTGATATACCTCTAATTTACCCACTTTTTATACTGTTTTAGCATTGTTTTCTAATGGTTTTTGGCAGGTTTTCTATCTAAAAAGGTAGTTTTACTGTGTTTATAGTGTCTAGAGTCTAAACAGGTGAAATGATGCATTTTGGAGCAAAACCATAGGATTTGCACTTCAAGCAGCTCCATGCACAAGCACCAACTTTAAGAGGGCCCAGAAAAAGATCTACTCAATGGATTTCATCAAGACCAGTTCCCTGCGTGCTCTGATTGAGTTAACTTTCCAACGCAACTGGAATGGCCTCATTTGGATGAGTAGAAAAGGAGTTATAACCAAAAGAGTGAAGACTGTCCAGACGGCTCTATCGAGAATCAGCGCCCAACCGCGCAGTCCGGCTGGCCGAGGAACGAATGTTCCGCGCTCGGCCAAAGTCTGTCCGTCCGACTGAAGTCTCGGCCAAAGTCCAAACCACCGGCCGATCACGCAACACGACCCGGGAAACATTGCCCGCGGTCGGCCAACGCCACGCCACGACCGCGCACGACCAAAGCGCGCGAGCCGGGAAACAAGGCCTCGCGGCCGCGCAACCCGTTCGCGTACCACGGCCGATGCATCCGTCCGAGCCGGGAAAGAACGTCCCACGTCCGGCCGAGAACTCATCGGCCAAATCTCAATCCGCTCGACCACGCCGGCCGACCCGAATCCGTCCGACCCCGACCGTTCCGACTCGGCCACGACCCGATTGTCCGGCCGATCGTCCCGCACGACCGTCCCAACGCCGCGGTCGACCCGAAGCCCTTTTTGAAGCCCAAACTTATGTTTTCAAGCCCGGCTTAACCCTAGCCGCCTCTAGAAAGACCTAGCACTATATATATGGATTTTTAGCCTCTTGAGAAAGAGAGCCGCCCTTGTATTTCGATTTCCTACTCTAAGTTTTATTGCAATCATGTTTTCTTCATCTCTATGTGTGTTTGCTTTGATCATGTCTGAGTAATCCACTAGTTAGGTTGCTAGGGTTACTATTCAATGAGTTGCTTGCATGATCTTTGATTTCAATGATTAGCTAGGGATTATATTAGAGTCTTTGTCTCGTCTTGTGCACTTAACTAATGCTGATTGCTTTACCGCGCATCTAGTAATCCGATCTTAGGTTGATTTGAGCCTCGACAGTGCTGATCATATTCTTTGACAAGCTAGGTTTCTTAGACTGCGAAAGTTGATCTATCTATATCTAGTGAACTGTATCAGAACCTATTCATTCTAATGCTTGATCTAATCACCTAGGGACATACCAAAAGTTTAGCGACTAGGTAGATTAGCAAAGGAGCCGGAGCCTCGAAAGTGGAATGGTTTTATATTCGTGATCTGTGTTCTAGATGGTTCTTAATATCCCAATATCCCTAATCAATTAATCTATCATTGTT